GTTTTTATTAAGTATTTCTTTGTAGCTATCAAAATGATTATATAATTTTCTACTTTTTTCTATTTTTAGTATAAAATACATTGCTTTTTTTCATTGTTTTTAATATTCTCTGTTGTTTATATCTACCAATATGGAAATATTGACATATAATAAACTGCACATATTTAAAGTACACAGTTTGATACATTTGGACATATGTATATACTTATGCAGTCACCCGCACAATCCAATAAATAGAATACTCACTAACCCCAAAAGTTTGATCCTGCTACCACATAATCCCTGCCTTGCCATCTCCCTTTTCCCCATTCCCTAGACAACTACTAATCTGCTTTGTGGCAATACACTTTGTTTGCATTTTCTATAATTTTACCTAAATGTAATCTTATAATAGGTATAGTATTTTCTCTGGCTTATTTCACTCAGTTTAATTACTTGATATTCTTTCACCTCATAGCAGTTATCAACAGTTCATGCATTTTCCTTATTATTGCTGAGTCATATTCCATTGTGAGTATCTACCCCAGTTTGTTTACCCATTCACTTTTTGATGGACATTTAAGTTATCTACTTTTTGAGGATTACAAATACAGCTGCTATGAGAATTCACAAAATATGTTGGTATGAACATTTGCTTTCATTTCTCTTGGGTAAATGTCTTAAAATGGATTTACTAGGTCATGTGGCATGGAAACATTTCAATTTATGAAATGGCTGAATTATTTTTCAAAATTATTGCTCCATTTTTCATTTCCATTAATAGTCTCTGAGAGTTCCAGTTTCTACACAGCATTACCTGTGCTCGGTATCTCAGGTACTTATAATTTAGACATTCTAGCATATTTATATTGATATCTCACTATGATTTTCATTTATACTTCCCTAATTACTAATATCTTCATGTACTCATTTACCATCAATATAAGTTCTTTTGGGACATACCTGCTTAAGAATATTTGTATTATTACTGAGTTTTGAGGGTTCTTTCATATTCTGGGTATATGTCATTTATCAGGTAAAGATTTATAAATATTTTATCACAGATCAAGGCTCTTTAAAAGTGTCTTTCATAGAATAGAATAGTTAAATTGTAGTGAATTTCAAATTAAAAAGTTTTTTTTTTTACCCCAATGTCACAAAGGTTTCCTCCAAAATTTACTTCTAGAAGTGTTGTAATTTTAGGCTTTACATTTAGGTCTCTGCTTCACTTTGAGGTTATATTAGTATGTGGTGTGAGGTATAGATCAAAGCTCTTTTTTTTTCTCTAATGAGGATATCCAATTATCCACACAATTTATTGGGAAAATTGTACTTTGTCCACTCTTTTGCACCTTTGTTGAAAATTAGTTGTTCATTTTTGTTTGTGTCTATATCTTGACACTTATTTTATCTATTTGTGTATCCTTTTAGGCAATATCACATAGTCTTGATCACTATAGCTTTGTAATATCTCTTGAAATTGAGTAGTGTTGGTTTAATAGCTTTGCTCTTATTTTTCAAAATTGATTTGGTTATTCTAGATTCTTTTAATTTCCATATGAATTTTAGAATTAATTTGTCAATTTCTGTAGAAAGGTCTACTAGGATTCCTATTGGCATTGCATTTAATCAACATGTCAGTTAGGGAAGACATGTCATCTTAACAATATTGAGTTTCCTGACACATATATTTAGATTTTTAAAAGTTACTTTTAGCAGTGTTTGCAGATTTCAGTGTACGGAGCTCTGAAAACTTTTGTTAGATTGATACATAAACATTTCATATTTTTGGTGCTTTTGTAAGTGGTATTATTTTCAAAATTAGCAATTCTGATTGCTACTATACAGAAATATTGTTATTTTTATATTTATCTTATGTCCTGCAACCTTGCCGAAAATAACTATCATCACTTATTGGATCTAATACCTTTTTAAAACATTTTTCGTTGGATTCCACTGCATTTTATTTGTAAACCGTCATGCATCTGCAGGTAAACACACTTGGCTTCTTCCTTTCAAATCTGGATACCTAGTTTTTTTCTTCCGTATATCCCTGCTTAACACTTCCATGAAATGCTGACTAGAAGTGGATAGTACAGATATTTTAAAAAATTTTTTTTCTGAACTTATGACCTGAAGGCTTCAGTCTTTCATCATTTAGTAATGATGTTACCTGTAGAATTTTCACAGGTTCCTTTGTCAGTTTTAGGAGTCCTGTTATTACTTTACTCAAAGTGTACATCACATATGGGTTTGGAATATTGCCAAATGTTTTTTGTTGAATCAACTTAGTTTTATAATATGGTTAATTATGCTGATTGGTTTTCTAATGCTAAACCAACCCTGTATTCATGGATTAAACTCCAGTTGATCATTATGCATTTATTATCTTTTTAATGTATTCTTGGATTTGATTTGTTAGAAAATTATAATAATGCTGTATATCCTTGGCTGCTCTTCAGAGTTTCACATTTTTGATCTTTAGTTTGCAAAATTTTAAGCATGTTGTGTCTTGGTGTAGATTTCTTTGGCAGGATTCTTAGGGAATTCTTTAAGCTTCTGAAATATGGGGGCTCATGTCTGTTCCCAGTTTGAGAAGTTTTCAGACAGTATTTGTTTAAATACTCTTTCAGAACCACTCTTCTTTCTCCTCTCCTCTGTGACTCAGATGGTATGAACTTTATATATTTTGTTACCATCCTATGGGTTACTGAGGCTTTTTTTTTTTTTTTTTTGGTCTATATTCTATCTGTTGTTCAAATTGGGTAAATTCTATTGTTCTGTCCTTATCTTCGTTAACTCTATTCTCTGCCATCTCCACTCTGTCATTGGGCTAATCCAGAAAGGTTTTTTTAAAATTTATTTTATTATATTTTTACGTCTATAATTTCCATTTAGATCTTCTATATAACTTATTTCTTTGATAAAAGTTCATAATTTTTCATTTAATTCAAAAGAATTTGTAATTTCTTACTGAAATATTTTTATTAAAGTTGCTTCAAAATCCATGTTCGATAATTCCAATATGTGATTTATCTCATTGGTATTAATTGATCATCTTTTCTCTTTCAAATTGTGCCTTTCCTGGTTCTTAGTATGACATGTAATTTTTATTGTATCCTGGCCATTTTGTTTATTATGTTAGGTGACTCCAGTATTATTTAAGATTTTTTAAAGCAGAAATTTACTGTTCAGCACAGAGGTTTGTGGCTGTGGTTCCATTTACAAATATGTTTTAGAGCCTGTTTGGTACTGCTTTGGTCTGATAGATTTATCTTATCTCACTGGGGTGCCCACTCTTCCCTGCTGGTGTTATTTGAAAAGATGAAAATTGCTTTCCCAGATTGGACTCTCTGGTGCTACTAATTAGGTGAAGGGATGTTTTATCAGTTGTGACTAAGAGCATTTACAAGTCAGTTCTTGTGGAGGGTTACCCCTCCCTGTGGAGAAAGTAGGATGGTGGGAATTTGGAGTGCCATTCCTTTGTTGCACTCTCTACCAGTGTGGGGTTTCCAGGTGGGGGAGGGTAGTCTTAGGCCCTTAAAGACAAAGTGGCTTCCATCGCTGAGCACTTATGAGGAGACACCCCTGCATATTCCCAGTCACACATGCCTCTGCGAGGGGAAGAGAATTCTCAGGCCCAGTGGGAAGAAGAGCACTTCTGTTGGCCGCTTATTGTCATCAGAGCTTCTGATCAGTTCCCTTCACTGGTTCTTGTGGACTTGCCTGGTGTTGGTGGAATTCCCATTCAGTTTGGAAGTGGCAGGAGCCTAGCTAGGCTGCCTTTTGTTTATATGCTGGGGGTCAGAAAATGCCAGGCCTGGTAAGTAAGTGTTCCTCTGTTGGGTGGGAGCATGCGAGACACTCAGTTTCTGTGCTGTTCCTCCAGTCCTGAGACGCCTAATTAGTTCTTTTTATTTCTACCTTTCAGAGTTCTCTTGTGGTTATCTCTTGCATGTTTTTCAGTGTCCATAGTTATATGTCCTGAGGAGGAGCAGAGGGAAATGAGTCTATGCCATCTTGGCAGGACCAGAAATCATTCCAGACCATTCTGATTTAGCTAGCTCTTAATGACTTGAGGTTGACAGCAATTTTTCTATTTATTTCATGACAACTTATATTTCTGTGTTTATTAACTGCTTCTTCATTAATTATTCTTAATTATCTCCTTAGTTTACATGAAAGTTTAAAATTATAAATATATTTATAACTTTTCCAGGTATATTTGCTATAAACAAGTCCCCAGCTTCTTAGTCTTTTTTAAATTTTGTTTTAAATTTACATTTTACATTGCTACATTTTTCTTCATATGATTTGTAGAGAAAGAAATTGGCATTATTTTAGCTGGTAGAACTAGGACCTACTAATTGTATAATTTAAAAAGTGTTGAGAGTTATTAATAATAACAGATTTTATCATCATATAATAACTCCTGATATTGATAACAGGTTTGCAGAAAAAAGAAAAGGAAATATTTAATGATGAATTAGGACAGTAATACCTATTTATTTTTTGTAAAAGTATTTGAGTGAATTGAGTCAATTTTGTTCAGTTTGGGTTAGTGCTCTGGTCACTATCTGCAGAATCATTTTTTTAAGAATCATTTTTTCTTATATCTTAGGCCATCATATGATGCATAATAGCTATTCCAAAGCTTAGCCCATCTTATGTTGTACAACAGATGCTCAAGAAATATTTATTAATAAATACAGTGGCTTGAAAATTACATCTGTCTTTCTGTAGACTTCAGGGTCCCTCACAGTGCCCAACACAGACCATAAGCACAGGAAGAGCTCAATAAATGGGAATGGAAGGCACACACTGTGGATGACCCACAGAATGGTGGGGAGGATGAGCACTGGCGGCTGTCTTACTGCAGTGCTAAATAATTTACTCCCTCTGTCTTTTAAAATGTTTCTGGCCACTAGGGAAAAATGGGAGGTGGAAAAGACAACCAATAATTTCAAGGCTTTACAGTCATATAAAAATTATAAACATAATTGCATTATTTTTATTTTTAGGTCCAAGTTCTTCGGAATGCTGGAGAAGAAGTGACCCTAACAGTGTCATTTTTAAAAAGAGCACCTGCTTTCCTCAAACTCCCATTGAATGAAGATTGTGCATGTAAGAATGGCTAAAGGGTTCACGTCATCATATTTATATTCTAAACTATTTTTTTCTGACAGTAATTGGTGATTTCTTCTTAAAGTTAAGATTCCTGCGTGAATACCAACATTTTTATATCACAAAGTATTCTACTAGCCTTATTGAAAAGGGAACAGGTGTAATTTTTGTTGCATAATGTATTCACATTATAGTTTTTTTCCATCCTATAACTGGAGGAGTATTATTTGTTTTAAAAATGGGCATCACATCAAATATCATATATGTATTATGTATATCTATTAAGTTTCATTCAGAATATTTGGCAAATATATTTTCTCTAACCAGAAAATGACACACCCTAATTGGATTACTGGTCTTGCTAAACAAGGATTTGCACTTAAGTTGTTCTGAGGAGAGTAGGGAGACTGAAGGAAGTATTTGCCTTTGTGGAAATGTATTAATTCACATAAGAGCTGCTTAAAAAAATTTTATCAATTTTATTTCAGTGTTCTTTTTTCTAAAATAAAATGTGTATTGTATAATACTTTTGCTAAAAAGCTAAGCAAGAATATATTTTAACTGAGGAATAGTTTACATGCAGTGAAATACAAAGATCGTAAATGCACAGTTGGATAAGTGCTGAAAGGCACACATTGGCTTATTCATATTCTTTTCAGTCATGGAACAGTTCCTCTGTGCCCCTTCCCAGGAAAATATGGCCCTAGAAACAATCACTGACAATTTCTCAGCATTATATATTATTTTATCTCTTCTAGAATGGAATATATAGAATGGAATTATACTGTATTTAACTTTTTATATTTGACTTTTTTCATTAGGAATAATTTCTTTTTGATTCACTTATGCTATATATTTTAGCAGTTTGTTCACTTATATTGCTCTGTAATGTTCCATTGTATGAATATACTAAACTTATTAATGCATTATCCTGTTGTGATACCAGAGATGTTTCTAGTATTTTGTTATTATAAATAAAGCTGCTGTAAACATTCTTGTACAAGGCTTTTGGCAATTTTATAATTTTATTTCACTACAATAAATACCTGAGTAGAATTGAGGAGTGACTAGATAGACATATAATTAACTTGTTAATAAATTGCCAAGCTTATTTCCAAACTTATTACCACTTATTTTATTGTGGTGAATAACACATAACATAAAATTTACCACTGTAACCATTTTAAGTGTACGGTACAGTAGTGTTAACTCTATGCACATTGTTGTGCAACAGATCTCCAGAAATTCTTGATCTTGCAAAACTGAAATTCTATACTCCTTAAAATACTACCCATTTCCCCCTACCCTAAACCTCTGGAAAACACCATTTTATTTTCTCCTTATAAGAATTTAACTAGTTTAGATATCTCATACAAGTGGCATAATACAGTATTTGTCTTTTTATGACTAGTTTATTTCACTTAGCGTAATGTCCTCAACACTCATCCACATTGTAGCAAATGACAGAATTTTGTTCCTTTTTAAGGCTGAATAATATTCCCTTGTATATGCATATCACATTCTGTTAACCATTCATCAATCAATGAAGATTTAGGTTGGTTCCACCTCTTGACTATTGTGAATAAATGAATATCTTTCACAACCTGCTTTCAATTATTTTATTATTTTGGATATATACGCAGAAGAGGGATTGCTGGATCATATGGTTATTCCATTTTTTAAAATTTTTTGAATAATGGACATGCTGTTTTCCATAGGAGCTGCACCATTTTAAATTCCCAGCAACAATGTCAATGGTTCCAATTTATCCACATCCTCTCCAACACTTTGATTTTCTGTTTTTTGTTTTGCTTTGTTTTGATGATGGCTGTGCTAATTGTCATGAGGTGATATCTCATTGCTGTTTTGATTTGAATTTCCCTGATAATTAGTGATGTTGAGCATCTTTTCCAATGCTTTTTAGCCATTTATGTAACTTCTTTAAGAAATGCTTATTGAAGTCCTTTGTCTATTTTTTAATCTGGTTATTTGTTTTGTTTTTGTTGTTGTAAGAATTATTTATATATTCTGGGCCAGGCACGGTGGCTCACGCCTGTAATCCTAGCACTTTGGGAGGCCGAGGAGGGTGGATCGTTTGAACTCAGGAGTTCAAGACCAGCCTGAGCAAGAGCGAGACCCCGTCTCTACTAAAATAAATAGAAAGAAATTATCTGGACAACTAAAAATATACAGAAAAATTAGCCGGGCATGGTGGCGCATGCCTGTAGTCCCAGCTACTCAGGAGGCTGAGGCAGTAGGATTGCTTGAGCCCAGGAGTTTGAGGTTGCTGTG